AGGGTCAGGCCACAGGTGCACAAAGAAGGGTGTGGGGAGCTATTGGGCAGGAGAGGTGGGTGGGGACCAACGGACTGGAATGGCAAGCAGGCAGCCTGTAAATGTAATGGGCAGATGGGAGCTATAGATGGTTAATGAGCAGAGGAGAAACTTGATTAGAGCTCTTCTTTAGGAAGAGTTACTCCCAGTGGGGGGTTGGGGTGGGGTAGAATGGTTGTAGGACAAGAAAGAACAAGGGCTGAGGGACTGTTGCAGTAAGCGCGGGCCATGGACCTGTTTTGGGTTTGCCCCTCTTCTGGAAGCAATATGCCCTCCCATCCACTTTTCCCTTAGGAAACCACCCTCCCCCACCCTGGCTCCTGGTTTGGGTGGGCCTGCCCCTCCCCCTCTCCGGGGGTGGGCACCGATCCAGCTCTAGCCAGCCAGAATGGCAGTGATTGGTTCACAGTGGGCACATGAACCCAGCCAGGCCAAACAGTGTCTGTCAGTCTGGAGACTTGCATTGAAATCGGTGGCAAAGAGTCTGTCTCTCCCCATCAGGATGGCTTTGCCCGCAGCCCGGAAGCTGGGATGGTTAGCGGGCATCTGCATCACCGCTCAGGGAGAACCTGCCCTCCTGCCCCCAAGAAGGGCAATAAAGGAGGAAGACAGAGCTAGCAGCAGCAGGAGGGGAGGTTGAGTTTGGGCAGCCTTACCTGCAGCTGCTACTTGGCCTGGACTTGCCAACCGTGGAAGCTACACTGATGTTTTTTTGTTGTTTTTTTTTTTTTTTGCTTAAGCTAACTGCACCGGGCTTCTCTCACCGCCCCTGACAGATCTCCCACCATTCCACACGGACTGAAGTTTGGGGCAAGAAGCAAGCGCAGAGGCAGTGATGGAGCACTTAGTGCAGCAGGAAGGGGGCCAGGTGAGTCCAGCGCCAGACGAGCCAGTGCGGGGCGCGGAGGACTCCAAATCCTGCCGGCAGAAAGAAACAGGAGGACGAGGGCCCAGCGACTTTCCAGATCCACGACCTTCAGGAAGCACCTCCTGCAGACAAGGACAGGCCAGCCTGGGGGCTGAGGAGAGGTGACAGGGAGAGGCTGCACGGGCACATTCCATTCTGGAAAACCTGGGGGAAGGACAGGAGAAGGAAGACAGTAGCCAGAGAGCACAGGAGAGGTGAAGGAGGGTGTTGCAGACAGACGATGCCCAAGGAGGGGCTGTCAGGGAGGAGAGAGAGCCCGGGGACCCTCCACCCCCTCATTCCCACAGTGCAGACGGAGGGGAGACCAGGTGCCGTTTTCAGGCTCCCAGGTCCGCTGTGACCTTGTGAGAGGTTTGGAAATAGGAAGGCTGGACCAGAGAGGAAGCCTGTCTGCAGAGCACGGGAGCCTCAGGCCTGTCAGGACACCTGGCGGGGTATGAGGGCCACCAAGAATCCTCCCTGCATCACGCGAATAGGCAAATGTGTCTTTTGTGACCTGCAAACAACGCCACAAGCCCTGAGCAGAACCTGCTGTGTCACTGAAGAATCCTCATGGCTTAGAAATGAGAGCCTAAACCACTTCCTCAGCAAGAAGGGGCCAAGAGCACAGACCTCGGAGCCAGCCTGGCCGGGTTCAAGTCCCAGCTCTGCCACGACCTTGCTGTGTGATCTCTGGCAAGTCACTTAACCTCTCTGGGTCTTGGTTTCCTCATCTATGGAAGTAACAGAGACAAGGCACGTCCAGCGTAGTGACTTGCATATAGAAAGTTACTACTCAGCGTTCTGAATCCTTGGTCACTGGGTTATGAGGACACGGCAGTGGGATGGAACCAGCTTTTCTAACACAAACAAGAGCAGACACGGCAACCATAACGCGCCTATACATTTGTCCAACAGATGGCTGGGGAAGGAAGGCGGACTTCCAGCCAAAGCAGACGGAGCCTTCAGATCCCACAGCCCATTCATAAGATCAACAAGCAGCAGGGAGAGCATTTTTAGTTCTCCCACCAGGCCCTCCCCACTCCCATTCCTGTCATTGGGGGAAGGGTCTGACTAGCAAACCGCAAAGCTCCAGGGAGGGAGGAAGTGTTCTCTGACCACAGCCTCGCCCCATGGCCAGGAGCATCTGTTCGGAACCTACTCACAGGATGCCCTTTCTTCCCGGGGTCACCTTCTCCTACTCCATGGAGAGAACAATAGCTTCAGAGGCAGGGGGCGGGGGGCAGGGGAAGACCCCATTCTGATGGGGGGTGGGGTGATGGATGGCCGGCAGGAGGAAACTGCTACCTTACTGTCAAGGGAGGAAAGAAACCGGCCTATGACAAAGCCTCAGAGACAGCAAGGCAAAAAATACTGCTGAAACTCCCAGTTATATGCCAGATGGGGTGAAAGCCAGGAGTCTGCACTTACTCCACTTGTAAAAGCAGTCACCGTGGTGGCGGAAGGATAGAGGTGGTTCAGAGACTGGGCTCCTCCGCCAGAATTGGAACCCAGCCCCCACCCCCACCCCGCTCTCCACAAGAGGCCCCGTGCACCTCATTAGATATGAGTTGTGAAAGTACTTCACACATCTGATATTTTAAACAATCCTTTCCAAAAGCAGTGAGTGAACGTCTAGAGGCAGCACTTAGGAAGACGTTCTAGTTGAGAGAAGATTTAAAAAATAAACAAAGCTCAGCACCACCCAGCCCATAGCAGACACTTTATAAACATTCTTTTAATTAGAGTAAATGCAAAATACCATTTGAATAAAGGAAAGGGGCCGTCGCATGATCCTGGGCACGATGAGTACTTTTTATTTATTTCACAAATGACCATGTCGTTTGCACAGGCACTGACTCACCAATTCTCACAACAGCCCTCTAAGATTACAGGAGAGGAAACCAAGGCCCCGAGAGTTAAAGTAACTTGCCCCAAACCACACAGCTAGAGGGTGGCCACGCGGGGATTCCAACCCACCTTGCTGACTGAGTCCCCACCCTAACCTCCAGGCTGCACTGCCTGTGTCTGAATCTATGTGTTTCCAAGCTAGAGACCAGAGCCTGGAAAAGAGCCCATTCTCCAATCTCAGCTTTAAAAGGCCCTCTTACCAACGATGCTGGGCCTTTTGCTTCTATGGGGTGGGGATGGGGGGTTGTGGTTCTACCTGCGTGCGTTCTTTCCTCCTAATGGTTCAACACACCGCAGGGAAGCGCAGAAAGTTTACAAACCCTAAGGATTCTGCTTGAAAGATTTCTTACATATGTAGAAACCTGTTTAACCGCCTCACAGATCAAAATACATTTTCAACCCCACCCGACCCCACACCACCTTCCGGGTGCCCCTCCCACCCCCACCAGTGCCTATCGACCCGCAAATATGCCCATTCTTCTGACTTTTCACACCACAGATTGGCTTTGCCTTTTCTATCATTTCATATACATGGGATCCTATGGTGGGTACACTTTCATATCTGGTTCTATAGTCTACAAATAAAAACATTTCACCAGCACACGGACAATGATTGTGGGAGAAGGGGGGTGGGTGAAGCTGACCGTTTCTAGCTCCTGCAATAAACGCTAGGATTGTTTTTATTGGGGCTCACTGACCGGTGGAAGGGGAAAGCGGGGAGGGCTGGAGCCAGGAGTTTGGAACAGCGGCAGTTGACGGTGGAAAACTAGCGACCCGCAGGAGGCAAAGGAGCTGCCGTGCCTGAAAAGGTTACCTTGGGAGAGAGGAAGCCAGGCGGTCGCCTCTGATCGCTCTGGATGCCCAGAGGGGAGAAGCCTTTGTGAGGCTTTAGAACGCTCAAATCTGGTTCCTACAGTGCCAGAGGCGCCCAGGGTGGCCACAGGCTCCGCCCAGTTTGGCCTCTGCCGCCCCTCCCCGGCACTGACAATATCCCAGAAGACGGGGAACTCCCCCAGATGGCGCGTCTCCCTACCTGTGCACTGTTGGATGAAGTCCTGATACTCCGCTCCCTGCTCGCCGGGGACGATGGTGGAGCCGTCATATTTAAAAGTCACCCTTTGGATTGGGAGAAGAGAAAAACACACACATATCAGCGTTGGTAGCTGCACAGTGCCGAGCTTCCAGCAGGACAATCTAAAAGATGCTCTGGCTAGGGAGAAGCCAGCGCTGGCTTTCCACGCCGTCCTGGGTTAAGGCTGCGGGAAGACAGCACGGGATGACCCTTCATCCGTCCGGTCTGGAAGACGGCTCAGTGCACCAGGCCCCTTGCGAGCTCGGGAGCGGGGCTTGGAGAGCAAAGGAAAGTTCCTCACCAGATGACGGCCGAGCCGTCGTCGCGCACCAGGTTGTACGCCGTCCGGCAAGCCTCTTTGTCGATCTTGGTGGCCATCGCCGCGATGCCGCAACGTGGATACTGTGCTCGCAGCGACAGATAAGCGCGCTCCGGGACGGCTGCAGGGACCAGAGCAGAGCGGGGCGGGGACGCTCCAAGGGCGGGCGGGCGGGCAGCGGTGGCGACAGCGGCTACGGAACGCGAGCTCTGAGCTCCGAGAGCTGCTCTGGCTCCGAGGGCGCCGTGAGCGCGCGCCAGACCTAGGCCGCGCCGCCCCGCCCCCCTCCAGCCATTGGCCTCCCAGGACGCGTCCCGCCCCGCCTCCTCTCGCTATTGGTCGTAGGGCGTCGAGGGCGGGGCGTCTTTACATGACAGCGACCAATCCCAGCCCGAGTGAGTTGCGCAACTCTGCGGCGGGGGCTGGAGGAGGGGACTTCTTTCCCCCCGCCTCCTCCTTCCTCCTCCTCCTCTTCTCCCTACCCCCTCTTCTCCTCTATCCCCCAGCCCTTTCCTCCTTCTCCCACTCCCCCAGCTCCTCCCCCCATTTCCTCCTCTCCAAGCCCTGTTTCTCCTTTCCCTCTCTCTTCTCCTGTCCTTCTCCGTCCTCACTCCTTGAGCCTGTCTCCTCATTTTCTCCCTCGCCTCCCCTCCTCCTCCTTGCTCCTCCCACTTCCGTAACCCCCCTCCCTCCTACCTATACTCACCTCCCCTCTATCCCCTCCCTCTATCCCCCTCCCCCCTTGCCCCCCCACCAGGCTGCTGGGCTCCACAGGGGATCTCCAAGTGGGTGACTTAATGCATCAAACCCAAGGAGACTGCCCCTGCCCCAGTGTATGGCTCCCTGGTTTCTAGGTAGGGAGGAATTGGAAAGAATTAAGCGTTTTTAAATAGGAGGGAATAGAAAGTGGACTGCTTCCAAAATGCTGGTGGGATCACTGTTTACTTTGTGTTCCGGTTATTGGCATTCACAGTTTATCTCCCCCTTTGGGTTCCTCCGAGGGCAGGAGCTGACTCATTCTGTCTTCTTTCTGCCCTCACTGACTCACTCATTCATTCCTTCCTGCAATCATTCCACAAAGATGAGTTACAGGGTCAAGGCAAGTAAAAAGCCCAGACCCCAGAGACCTGGCTCTTGCATTGCATCTAGCCCTGCCTCTTTTTAACTGTGGGCCCTTGGACAAGGCTGAAAAGCTCTCTGATTACTTTCCTCCAATGGAATAATAATAGTACTGACACCATAGGTTTGCTTTATGATTAATGGAACCGATACTTATAAACAGATATATTAGACCTTCAACAAAAGGTCATCGTTGTTGGTTATTAACTAAAATAAATCCTAAATAGAAACCCCAAAGGTCAGAACAATGTCCGATTAGTAATAAAATTCTCAATGGCAAACAAACAAAAATCAACCGATCAAGCATCGAACAGGTAAATGGGGGGAGGGGGTGGATGGGACCACATTTACAGGAAAGTGGGAGCTGATGTTGCTATAAATACAAAGACAAAAACAAAGAAATTCCAGTTTGATGCAGCTCCTACCTTACTTCTTGATAAAGGTAATGGGACCATCAGCCACTAGAAAGAAGAACAAAGATGGATCCATACCTCACACCACAGATCAGGGTAAATGCCAAAAGGATCAAAGATTTGCCTGTAAATTAAGGAAACCACAAAGTGCCAGAAGAAAACGTGGGAAGCTTCCTTTATAAGACCAGAATGAGAAAGGTCTTTCTAACGATGACTCAAAACACAGAAGCGGGGCTTCCCTGGTGGCGCAGTGGTTGAGAGTCCGCCTGCCGATGCAGGGGACACGGGTTCGTGCCCCGGTTCGGGAAGGTCCCACATGCCGCGGAGCGGCTGGGCCCGTGGTACGGAAAAAACAAAACAAAACAAAAAACCACAGAAGCCATAACAAAAGATGGATACATTCAAATATGTAAAAAGTCTTCTTCAATGGGAAAAAACAAAACAAAACAAAAGGCAAGGCAGTAGAAAGTATTTGCAACTCAAATCACAAAGAATTTGTCTTGCTGACGTGTAGAGAAACCAACCTAAAAAAGAGAAAAGAGGGAATTCCCTGGCGGTCCAGTGGTTAGGACTCTCTGTTTCCACTGCGTGGGGCCCAGGGTTCAATCCCTGGTCAGGGAACTAAGATCCTGCAAGGCATGTGGCACGGCCAAAAAAAAAAAGAGAGAAAAGGAAAGTGGGCACAGGATATGACCAGACAGATCAGAAGGCTCTTAAACACATGAGAAGATGTTCAATCTCAAGCCCTAATAAGAAAAATGCAAATTAAAGCAAAACTGTGATATCTTAAAAAAAAAAAACTAGCAGGTTAGCAAAAAGCAAAGTTTGACAAGCATGTTTTGTTAGTGAGGCTGTGAACACCCAGGCCTCTCATATAAGCCAGTGAGACGGCAAGTTGGTAGAACCATCCATGGAAGCCATTTGTCAATATCTAGCAAATTTAGAAGTCTATGTGCTCGCGACCAGTTTCCTCTAGATGTCAACAGCACACAGGGCTCCCTGTGTGCCCTGGTCCCAGGCTCGGGGATTCTGATGTACTTGATCTGAGGTATGGCTTGGGGGTGGGATTTTTAAAAGCCCCCTTCGTCATTCTCATGTGCAGCTGGAGCCCATGGCCACTGCTATAGACATACTCAAGTGTGTGCAAAATATATTCAAGGTTATTCACTGAGCTTTATTTGTGGCAGCAGAAGTCCCCCCATTGAATAGATGATGATAAAGGTGTGCCGTGGAGAAGTCTGCAGCTGGGAAGACAGAGAGGGGAGGGGGGCCTTCTCTCTGTGTACTGCTATGCATAGTTCCACAATCTACTTCATGATCGCACAAAACAAGGTATAGAACAGTATGCTCAAAACACCCTTTTGTGTTGCTACCTTTGGGTAAAGTGGGGGGAGGGTTTACAGAGATACTTGTACCTGTTTACATGTGCATAAACACCTCTGGAAGAGCATACACGAGAAAAACAACAATCGTACCTGAGATGGAGGTGAGGTAGGAAGCCAGACACGAGGGGAAAAGGGGAGGGAAGGAGACTTCATCATATACCATTTTCTTCTCTTCTCTTCTCTTCTATTTTTAAACACATGAATACATTACCGATTAAGAATATTAAATAACAACAACAGGGTGACTTCCATCCTGGATTTGATTCTATGGTTCAGGGATCCTGGGAGGCGGGGGGATGCCTTAACGGCGTCTCTCCTATTCCTAGTTGCTATTGCCCTCTACTGGACTGAAAGTGTACAGGGTTGGTTTTGAGACGAACCCTAATTTTGAGCACCCCGAGGTCCACGTGCCCAGCTAAGGCACAAAAGTACACTGTACACCAGAACTAAATGCGGTGTGTGAATATTTCTTTAAATCAGGATGCGTACAATAAAAAAAGCAATTTAATTCAACTCACGTTTCTTTAGAAGAGAAATCAAATCAAAATATTGGGCACTTATTATATGCTAGCTACTATGTCAAGAACGGGGGGAGTGTATAAATTCATTCATTCATTTACTCATTCATTCATTCATTCATTCCTGACAGTGGACCTATTATGTGTCCGGGGGGGGGTCACAAACCCACTTGCCTGTAGGGGGAAGGCACATAACATAAATGAGCCAAGCACACAGCCCGTAAAAAATTTCTTCTGCAGGTCATCGTCTTCTGGGTGTCAGTTTCTTCTTCTGAACTGCCATCTAAAGGGGGCCACTGGTTCTCAGAGCCACCCTAGTTGCCAGGTAAGAATCCTAGCATGACCATACCAAGCCTTCCAATTGTCTAAGAAAAGCAAAAAAATCAGAATCTTTTTGTGAATTCTCTCGATTCTTAAACTTGCATAATAACAATGTTACATGTAAGAGCTGCCTGGATGCAAATTTGAACTAGACAGATACACTCCCTGCCCTTATGGGGATTACGGTCTAGGAGGGCTAGGGGATTACAGTTCAAATAGGCCTACACAGTGGAGAGAAAGCAATGACTCCATGATGGGAAGGCCCAAACTTAGTGGAATTCACGCATCAGGCATGTTTTCATCAGGGCTTGGCCTCTATCTTTCTTCATGTTTCTACTTTGCCCTCCTTTTTTTCCTTTTAATAAATCTATTTATTTATTTTTGGCTGCGTTGGGTCTTTGTTGCTGCGTGCAAGCTTTCTCTAGTTGCGGCGAGCGGGGGCTACTCTTCGTTGTGGTGCGCGGGCTTCTCATTGCGGTGGCTTGTGTTTGTTGCGGAGCACAGGCTCTAGGCGTGCAGGCTTCAGTAGTTGTGGCTTGTGGGCTCTAGAGCGCAGGCTCAGTAGTTGTGGCACTCGGGCTTAGCTGCTCCACGGCATGTGGGATCTTCTGCGACCAGGGCTCAAACCGGTGTCCCCTGCATTGGCAGGCAGATTCTTAGCCACTGTGCTACCAGGGAAGTCCTTGCTATCCTTTTTGTATCAGTTTCATCTCCAGGCAAATTCTGCCCCTCTGGATGCGCGACCTACCCCAGATTCTGCACGGCTGACTTCTCATTCAGACCTCACAGGTTGCCCCTCAGAGAGGATTCCCCAGCATCCCGATATAAAGCAGCCCCTTCTGGGACCTCCCCTGGCCACTCTCTACCACATAGCCTTTTGTTTTCCTTAGCAGTCATAGTTATCTGAAATCACCTTTCTCCTGCATCTCTTTATAACTATGTTGTCTATCCACTCCCAGGAGAATGTCAGGTCCGTGAGGCCAGGGATGGTGTCCATCTCACTCACCATCGTATGCTCAGGTCCAAGCACGGCACTGGTCCCAGGTGGGCAGGTAATTTACAGTTGTGGAATGGGTGGATGTGGGGTGAGGGCGAGAGAAGAGTCAAGGAAGGTGATACTTGCAGAAGAGTGGACATGTAGACCAATGGAACACTTCTGAGAGTCCAGAGGTAAGCTCATACGTTTATGGTCAACTGATTTCTGCAAAGGGCGCCAAGATAATTTCATGGGGAAAGAGTAGTCCTTTATCAAATGGTGCCGGAACCACTGAATAGCACATACAAAAGAATGAAGTTGGGGGCTTCCCTGGTGGTGCAGTGGTGAAGAATCCGCCTGCCAATGCAGGGGACACAGGTTCAAGCCCTGGCCTGGGAAGATGCCACATGCCGCGGAGCAACTAAGCCCATGCGCCACAACTACTAAGCCTGTGCTCTAGAGCCCATGAGCCACAACTACTGAGCCTGCATGCCACAACTACTGAAGCCCACGTGCCTAGGGCCCATGCTCCACAACAAGAGAAGTCACCACAGTGAGAAGCCCGTGCACGGCAACAAAGAGTAGCCCCCGCTCGCCACAACTAGAGGAGGCCCACATGAAGTAACAAAGACCCAACGAGGCAAAAATAAAAATAAAATAAAATAATTTTTTAAAAAGACAATAATGAGTATCAGTGAGGAGGTGGAAAAATTGGAACCCTCATATACTGTTGACGGGAATGTAAAATGGTGTATGTGCTTTGGAGGACAGTTTGGCAGGTCCTCAAAATGTTGAACATGTAATTATATGTGACCCAGAAATTCCATGTATAGGAATATACCCAACAAAAATGGAAACATATGTCTACATAAAAACTTGTATGTGAATGTTCACAGCAGTATTATTCACAGTAGCCCAAAAGTGAAAACCTAAGTGTCCTTCAACTGATGATTGGACAAACAAAAACATGGTCTATCCATACAGTGGAATGAAGTACTGATTCATTCTTATAACATAGACAGACCTTGAAAACATTATGCTGGAATATTACTCAGCCATAAAAAAGAATGAAATAATGCCATTTGCAGCAACATGGATGGACCTAGAAATTACTAAGGGAAGTAAGTCAGGCAGAGAAAGACAAATATCGATACCATATGATATCACTTATATGTGGAATCTAAAAAAAAAATGATACAAATGAACTTATTTACAAAACAGAAACAGACTCACAGACATAGCAAACAAACTTATGGTTACCAAAAGGGAAGGGGGAAGGGAAGGATAAATTGGGAGTTTGGAATTAAAATACACACACTACTATAGATAAAACACATACAGTAGTATGTATATTGACCAGCTAGGACCTACTGTATAGCACAGGGACCTCTACTCAATATCTTGTAATAACTATAACAGAAGAGAATGGAAAAAAAGATGTATGTATAACTGAATCACTTTGCTCTACACCTGAAACTAACACAACATTGTAAATCAACTATATTTCAATAAAAATTTTTTAAAATAATTAAAAACCTTCATTAAAAATGAAAAAAAACCCATTATGCTGAGTGAAAGAAGCCAGTCACAAAAGATCATAAAATATACAATTCCATTGATATGAAAAGTCCGGAATAGTCCATTTATGGAGACAGAAAGTAGACTAGTGGCTGTCAGGGGCTGGAGGGAGGGGGAGAATGGGGAGTGACTGCTAACGAGTATGGGGTTTCTTTGGGAGGCTGAAGAAAATGTTCTGGAATTAGTGATAACGGTCACACAACTTTGTGAATATGAAAAATCACTGAACTGCACACTTTAAAGATGTTTAATGATATGAATCACTGTGTTGTACACCTGAAACTTACACAATATTGTACAGCAACTATACCTCAGTGTTAAAATGTTTAATGAAATTTAAAAATTTTATTTATTTATTTTTGGCTGTGTTGGGTCTTCTTTGCTGTGCGTGGGCTTTCTCTAGTTGCGGCGAGCGGGGGCTACTCTTCGTTGCGGTGCACGGGCTTCTCATTGCAGTGTCTTCTCTTGTTGCAGAGCATGGGCTCTAGGTGCGTGGGCTTCAGTAGTTGTGGCACACGGGCTCAGTAGTTGTGGCTCGCCGGCTCTAGAGTGCAGGCTCAGTTGTTCTGGCGCACGGGCTTCGTTGCTCCGCGGTATGGGGGATCTTCCCGGACCAGGGCTCGAACCCGTGTCCCCTGCATTGGCAGGTGGATTCTTAACCACTGCGCCACCAGGGAAGTCCTAATGGAATTTTTTAAAAGAGTGAAGGAAGCCACCTGGGTTTGGGGCCTGAGCATCTGGGTGGGTGGAGGAGATGAGTCCAGTTTGGGACAGGTGGCGTTTGAACTGCTCATGGGACATCAAAGTAGAGACGGCCGGCAGAGTTCCAAGACAGAGACTCAGGACAGAGCCTGGGTGGGGCTACAGATCTGGAAACCATGGGTCTACAGGCGGTGCTCAGGCCAGGGGTGTTTGAGAAGGTCCAGGGAGGATGCTTAGGTAGAAGGTCTATGGTGGAGCCCCAAGTGTCATCAGCATGGACAGGAAAGGAAGCCCAGGAAGTAGACTGAGAAGAACTTTCCAGAAAGGGAAGAGGAAGCCCAGAAGAGGTGGTTTTCAGGAAAGGGGGAGCGACCAGCATGGGACAAGCTAGAACCCATCCCTGTGATATTAGGCAGGGGAGCAGAAGGGGGCAGCAAGTGGGGAGGGGGCATGAGACAGTGCCCAGTAAATTTTTTAATCTGTCATTGGCCCATAAAATGGATTATGGTCAGAGACAAGTGTGGGTGGGATCCCCAGCCATGCATAGGTATTGCCTCTTTTGAGCCCCACTGCTATGCCAGATGGGCAAGTTATATAATCTATATTGATATATTATTAATAATAGTAATTATATATCCTATACATGATACAGTAACTATAGTATGCAGTATGATCAATAGTAATGTCTTTCTGTGGGTTGTGTTCTCTGTACCAAGCACCATGTTAAGTGCTTTACGACTGTTTTCTCAGGTAATTCTCATATAAGCCCAAGGAGACCGTGTCCCTAACCCCCCAACATAAGAGAGAGAACTGAGGCACCGAGAGGTGGCGCCATCTCCCCATGGTCACAGGGCAAGAGCATTGCAAATACTGTTTGAACCCAGGCAGTGTGACCTCAGGGATCTGAGCCTCCCCAGCAAGAAAGTTTGGAGACTCTCACATTGACCCGGGGTATCTCAGCTATGTGTGCTCTGAGACTAGAAACATCTGTGCTGATCTTTTTTTTTTAATAAATTTATTTATTTTATTTATTTAGTTTTGGCTGCATTGGGTTTTTGTTGCTATGCACGGGCTTTCTCTAGTTGCGGC